AGCCCTGGCTTCAGGAGGCCTGGGGTGGTGTCGGCCACCCAGGGCACATCCAGCCGGCAGAAGGAAATGCCATAGCAGTCCTAGGCTGGGCCAGCCCGAGGCAGTGGCCATCCAGGACAACTTAAGAAGGAATGATGTATTGGCGTGGTCCTCACAAAACTCCTACTGTCCCCAGCCCGCTGAGGAGGTCAAGGCTCAGAGAGCCAAGCGGCCCGGGATGGAAGCCTGGGTCTGTGCGCTCAGCACAGCGCAGCTCAGGAGGGGGCCCACCACGAGTGGGAGGGGAGGACAGGGGAGAGTGTCTTTGCTTTCTAAACAATAAGAGCTCCCGAATGAGCTCCCCCCACCTTCTCCCACCAGGAGCCTCTCACCCCAGGGGACGCCAGCTCCTTTCTCCTGAGTTTTCTCCTGGCCCTGCCTGGCCCAGATCCAGACACAGGGGCTGCCCTCCGCATCCCCCTCCCTGGGCCCCATTCCCTGGCCTTCTTGTACGGCTGCTCAGGCGTGGGTACATAAATGATTTAAGCCCCTCCCGTCCATCCTCATTGTTCTTCTTTATTGACCATTCTTCCTGATTTAGCCTCTTCCCAGCGTCCCATGGGGCAAGAAGGCGTGTGTGTGTGTGTGTGTGTGTGTGTGTGTGTGTGCACTCCACCCCTTGTCCACCTGCCCAGCTGGGGAAGGTCAGAGGCCCAGGCATGACTGGCCAGCCGGAATGAGGCTTCCCTGGGACCCAGAGGGGTTTTGGATTGGGGGCCAGAGTATTCGGGGAGCAGCCCAGAGTGGTGGACAAAAGCACAGTAGTCTTGGGGGCATCTGGGTGGCTCAATCGTTGAGCACCCATCCGACTTCAGCTCAGGTCAGGATCCCACAGTTGGTGAGTTTGAGCCCTGCATCGGGCTCTCGGCTGTCAGCACAGAGCCCGCTTCAGAAGCTCTGTCCATCCTCGCTCCCTGCCCCTCCCCTGCTTGTGCTCTCTCTCTCTCTCTCTCTCTCTCTCTCTCTCTCAAATAAAAACAAAAACTTTTTTAAAAAGTACAATAGTCTTGGAGTCCTGGGTTTGAATTATGAGTGCCCCCACTGGCGCTGGTGGCTTTGGGCCCTGCTAAGCCTCCATTGTCTCATCTGAGCAGTGGGGTTGTTCCTTCCTCTGTGAGGAGCCAGTGGCTCCATGGGGAAAACAGCACACAGCTGGCACATACTAGGTGCTCAGTAAATGGCGTCCCCACTCTGCCTCTCTGGCCTCCCTCCTTCCCCTGTGAAAAGGCCTCAGGTGGGAGTGCGGCTTCTCCTGCTCCTTCAGTTGCCAGCAAGCCCAGGGCAGAAACCCAGAACAAGATGGAAGGAACCTGGGTTTGGCATCCTTTCCCACCCCCAGGGAGGCTAGGCTGGTGTCATTACTTCGGTTGCACAGAGAAACTGCAGCTTGCTGACGGCCCAGGTCTTTGCCCAAGACCTGTCGAGGTAGCTGAGTGGCCGAGCCAGGGGGAGGCCCAGGCTCTTGTCCTTGAGAGGTAGGCCAGGCCTGAGAGGTACCCTTCCCCCTGCGATCCACCCGCATAGACATGGCCTCAGAGAAGGGCCTGGTGGCACTGGTTCAGAGCAAGTGCCCGCCACCTGACTCTCAGCTCTGCCATTCACTAGCTGTGTGACCCTGGGTGAGTCACTCAGCCTCTCTGAACTCGTTTGCTCGTCTCTAACACAAGAATGGTAACACCGACCTCCCAGGGTGGTGGATAGGGGAAGCGAGGTGATGAATGTGAGGCACACGGCCGGGCACAGAGCCGTTATTTTATGGTGATTGTCTATTTGTCACCAGCTGAGGCAAACCCATTGGATGACACCTCGGGTCCTCCGCTCACGGGAAGGGCCAGGGAGTGGTGACGTCAGACCCCTGACAGCTTCTAGCCCCAAATAGCCCTCTCTTTAGACTGACCCTGTTTGATCACAGCTGCTGCTGCTGCTCCCTGTTCCCAGCTGAGCTGACATCGCCTCTGGCTGTGGCTTCTGGCCCATCAGGCTGGTCCCCAGAGCCGTTTCAACAACCCCATCCCGACGAGGCAGGATTTTCCCCCAGGGAAACGGATGGGCCTCCCAGGTGGCGGCTCCAGCTCAGTGACCCGGCTTTCAGAGTGCTCCAGGCTCTGGAGCAGCCTGGGTTCAAATCACTGACCTCTCTGTATGATCTTGGCCATCACTTTACTTCCCCCGGCCTCAGTTTCCTCATCTGGAGAATGGAGCTAACAGCAACCCAGCAGGTTTGTTGTAAGGACTCAAGCAGACAAAGTGCATAAAGGGCCTGGACAAGACACGCACACAATAGCATGGGTTTTCATGCCTGCAACACTGGGAAGTTTGTAAAATCGCCCCCCTCCGCCCCCCCCCGGGGGGCCCCCCCCCCCCCCACCAACTGGGGCAGGTGTCCTTCCTGGTTATCATCAGGAAGAAACTGAAGCTTCTGAGCTGCCTTGCTGGAATCCTGAGCCCCAGGATTTCCAAAGCAGCCAGCCCCTTCTGGGAGCCGTCCGTCTGAGCCCACCTCCCTCTATGAATCACGGG